GCTTCAAAGTCATGCTGCGGCGATTCACCTGGATTCACATCCTGGTCGCGCCTGTCTTCGTCATACACTTCCCGGGCCTCGTAATCTCCCAATTCTTGCCCATGGGAACCCCCGGGATCAGCCTCCTCGTCTGACTGGCTCCCCATTTTGTCGCCGTTCGCATCAAGCTCCGGACTCGGTGGCCCCGTCGTGTCACTGTCAACCACAATGACTTGACTGGCGTTCGCCAGTTGGATCTCTCGGCTCACGGCTTCCCTCTCCCGCTGCCATTCCTCCAGTCGCCGTTTCATTTCTGTACTCGGAGTGTCCTTCACAGCAGTTCCGCTGAGTACCTGTTGAGGAGTTGTGGCTGCGCCTCTGGCATTGCCCATCAATCTTGCTTCTGCTGATGCCGTTTGTCTCGCCCGTTCAATCTCCGTCTTTCTCCTCCTCTTTGCGAGCTCCTGTGCGAACCCCAAGCCTGCGCGCAGTTCTCGTCTCATTCTCGGATGTAAGTCGCTGAACAAGAGCTCTAACCGCCTTTTGGGTGCTTCCAGACTAGAAATTTGTTCTCTCAGATCCGGCGTACCAGGCGTGGGCACAGGTGCCCCCTCGTATGGACGCCGAAGGGTGCCTTCAAGGGCTACGCCTGCGCGGATAATTCGAGCCAGCCTTGCAAGCGGGTTTCTTTGCTTGGGAACAAAAGCTGGAGCAGGGGATTCACGCAATATAGGCGCAGACTGTCTTTTCTCGGCGGACACGGGCAATGCTTGAGGCTCGGTTGCCTGCAATCTTGATTCTTTTTCCACCTCTACATCTGGGGAATCCATCCTGGGATTCAGATTCAGGCTTGACACCTTGCGCTTCAATTTCTCCGTGTTCGCCATCTTCTCTCGGGCTAGGAAGGGCTTCAGAGCACCGTTGCCATTCTGCGAGTTGATGCTCAGCCCGTGTTGTTTGACCGAGGGTAGTGTATCCAATGAAACCATGCTAAAGCCTTCGCTTTCCATGATAGAATCAAACTCCCTATGTTCTTCTGTTGGATCATTTGTAGGACGAGTCGTATTTTGTTCCTGGCCGGAATGTGCCCTAGATTCAACTTGGACCGCCCTGTCATCGTCACCCAGAGAGGAGGTTGGACTTGGGTATGAGCGTGGCGGCCTGGGTGTATGACCAGCATGTAGTGTATTTTCTGGTGAGAATCCTTGGCTTTCTCGAGATGGCGATGGCATTTTTGAGGGGGTCGACTGCGGTTCTTCATCATGGTTTTGTCCGTATATCTGATCCACTGCAGTCACATCTGGTGTATCATACGTACGCTCATTATGTATTCGGGGGGAGCTCCGATCCCAAGCGGCTGCATCGGATTGCCCCATGTTGTTGTCTTCTGGAAAGGCGTCGACGGGCATGAAACCCTCCGGCAAAGCGTCGTCCTCCGAGTCTGCGTCCCCAGCAAGGTTCAACGGACTCCATCGTTGTCCGGCCTCCAGTTCAGGCTCAGCGGGCCGGGTATCTTGATGATCTGCCGAATCAGCCACTTGCTTATCGCCCTCTACCGTATCCGGATTGAGAGACTGTTTCCTTGGTCGACCTCGCTTTCTCTTCTGCCCACTTGCGCCTGCTGGGCCCGGTGTGTGCCCAGGACTGCCTGCTGTAGGCATAGCATCCTGTTCCCGTATGTCCGACTTCCTTGGTCGCCCTCTGCGCCTTTTCGGTGACTGTTCCGCATGTTCTTCGGCATCCTTGAGCGGTATTTTGACTGTCGTAGCCGTCGACGGCCTCGGCCGCTTGCGCGCCGGGCTCCCTTGATTCATTTCCTCGTCTTGTGTTGCCTCGAGTGTTACTCGGATCCTCCACGGGCTCAAGTTTCCATCCGCCTGTGCCTTTTCTGGAGATAATGATCGCTGTCGACCGTTCAACTGCCTAGTCGGGGACACAGGAAGCAGGACATCGTCGAATCGAATCGAGTGCGCGCCCTTGGCCGGACTAAGATTGATGCGCGACCGCTTTCCCTTGCCCGTCCGCGGGGTCTGAAGGAGCTTAAAATTGGCTGGCGACATGAAGCTCTGGCGACCGGAGAAAGGTCTGATCGGAGATGATATCAAATAATCGGCGTCGCCAGGGGGGCCAAGAATGTCTGGAGAAGAGCTGGAACTTTGGGAGAACATTGCGCCATGCAACAAACAATGCGGTTCATGAGGAGGGGCGACCGTGCCGCAAAGCGCGTCGCGCAAGAATAGCAATTTACAGAGGCTGTTTGCCAACACAACTATTCAGAATTCATCATCATCAACAAACCAAATCAGCTGTCATCATTCTGGATTCGACCCTAAGAGTCCGCATATCCAACATAAACAAGTCTCCCGATCAGGCAGGCCGAGGGTCCGGGCCGATCTGAATGCGAGGGGACGCGTCGGTATTACATAATCGGTAAATATCTGTTCCGTTCCGAGTACGGTCAGTCATAGAGGCCATGGCTGCAGTGGTCGGTCGACTTTACCAAAATGCTTCAATGGAAACATTCAAGAATGAAGAGTGAGTGTTTTTCATCATCACTCCTTTACTCCACGTACAAGCCAGCAAAAGTCGTTGCTGGTCAACCAGTTCCTCTCAGTTACCTCCCGGGAGCATCTTATTCTCGACCAAGAGGAGAAACTAGGAAAATGATCGACAAGCCTTTTTCCCTTCCCCGCAAATGGAACTTGAAATCCCCCACCGGAATTGCCTGTAAAGGTCTAGCGTACTGTCCGAGATCCAACCACGCGGTTTTTGCCTCGCCGCCTTGAGGCCTTGTTGACCTCAGGCACTCACTAGCCAAAGCTAGATTAACGGTGTTTAGGGGGCGTATTGCTTAACTGTTGCTGGAGCATTGAGAGCAATATACACGGAGAAATTCATTTCGCTTAACCCACAACTGCTACCGGCTGGATCCTCCAGTAGAATCTTCCATTCACTGACACCTTCGCCCCAACTGGTTCCGTCGAGCTTGTTGGGAGGAAACAAGGTAGCCGGTGACTGCACGCGGCACGGATCCCTGCACATTCGGGGCTAGTCAACCAAAGCCCCCGAGACAACTGGAAGCTTGCCATTGACTACGTCCATTCTCGGTAAATTTACGAGTCATCTCAGCAAATCAGTGAAGCACAAGAGGGTTCGGGCCTACCCCAGCTTCCTGCTGGTTCCTGCGCTTTGTTTCCCCCGCACGGAGTAGCATCATGAGGTGAATGGTGCCTACTACCAGCAGTGACGTTTTATTGTTTTTGCTAGGGGATTATGAATACCTCCCCATTATTTAACCGACGCACACCCCCTCTTCGTGGCTGCTTTCGTTCTTTGCTGTGTCCTGCTCGGATAACACCTCGTGTCTTGATCATTTACTGCTCCTTCTTCATCACTATCACTATTCTACTGGGGCTCAGGATGCATGTCAAGCACTATCTCTCGGCAGTCCTTTATGGACTGCCAGTTTTGGCTCAGAGTACGCAGTCGAGCTCCTCTTCTTCGTCCAGCACTTCAGCTACAGATCCCTTCAAGGTCTACACCATCAGCGCGGAAAACATTACTGCCAAGCTGATTCCATATGGAGCACGGCTGATATCTCTGATGGTCCCGGATCGCGATGGCAAGGAGCAGGATGTCGTCATTGGCTACGATGATCCTAAGGCCTACCTGAATGACACAGAGACAGTCCACACCTTCTTCGGTGCTGTTGTGGGTCGGTACGCCAATCGCATCAAGAACGGCACGTTCACCATCGGCACGAATGAGTACCATGTGCCGGAGAATGAGAATAACGGCACTGATACTCTCCACGGAGGCAAGGTGGGCTACGACCAACGGAACTGGACTGTCACAGCACACTCTAAGTCTTCCGTCACCTTTACTCTCTTCGATCAAGGCTGGGAGGACTTCCCCGGAGACGTCATCACCCACGCCGTGTACAGTGTCGACACGACTGTCACTCCGCAGAACCCAAAGGGTCTCCCGCAGCTGACCACCAAACTGGTCTCCCTTGCCCTGACGGAGGCGACTCCCATCATGCTCTCTAACCACATCTACTGGAACCTCAATGCCTTCAAGGCCCCTAATGTCCTGAATGACACCTTCCTGCAACTCCCTTACTCCAACCGCCTTATCGCCACAGATGGCATCCTCATCCCCAACGGCACCATCCTTACCGTAGACGCGTTCAACGGCGCCCCCGATTTCACCGAGGGCAAGCTCATCGGCGCCGATCTCAAGGATACCTACGGTATGTGCGGCACAGACTGCACCGGCTACGATACCTGCTGGCTCGTCGACCGACCCCCTCAATACGCAGCTCCGGACTCGCTGGTCCCCATCGTCCGCATGAACTCCAGCGCAACCGGTATCAGCCTCGAAGTAGCGTCCAACATGCCCGCTCTGCAAATCTATACCTGCGACAACGCCAAGATGGACTACCTCCCCATCAAGCCGTCGCAGGAGAAGCGTAATAAGGAAGAGGGCAAGGAAGGCGCAAAGAACGTCATGCAGTATGGCTGCGTGGTTATCGAGCCTGAGGGCTGGATTGATGGCATCAACCACCCTGAATGGGGACAATTGCCGCTGCAGATCTTCTCTCCCAATGATGGTCCAGCCGTCAACTGGGCTACTTATCAATTCGGCACTGTCTAGACTTTTTGAGTCGTCCGCTGTGAAAATTGGTGGTTGAACTGTCTTAGCTGACGTTGGGTTCGAAGTGATATCGCTGCTCTGTTTTGACATACCAGCAGCTTTGAGATCGACGGTCTCTCAACGTGTACATAATAATCTAATGCTATTCAAGTTATAATCCGGCTGGCTGTCTGCCATTCCTTCGTAGCTGCACTTCTATTGTTTCCCGATCGGAGAGCGATCTGGAAGATAAGGAGTCTGCCATAATACTTCCCAAATCAATAGACTATTTCGATTCTAACTGGGTATCATATATACAGGTCAAATTTCATCTTAGGTCCATGACATGCGAACCAACGTATAGTCACACACGTCCGTGCCCAAGTTCAACCCCAGGCTGCTAGTGTCCAGCTTGACCGGTCACCGCCTGCTCGAAGACCAGAACGTCGATCAGGAACATGGCCATGATCCAAGTCCCGGCTGGCACCAGCAAGACCATGCTGAAGGTATTTCTCCCGCTCAATTTCCACCTGTCCCCTGATCTTGAGGCTTGCCACAAGACTAGCTCCGGCCCAGGCACCCAGAGATTCCACCTCGCGCAGTATACCATGTACCTGGTGTTTCATGTCCTTGTCCTTGCTACGGCGTAGCTTCTGCTCAACGAAATCTACCTCTTCTTCGGGCGCCTCATTCCCTTGACTGTCCGGTACCGCTGAACTTTCAGAGGGCTCTATGGTATTGTCTCGACCGCCCTTCGCGGGTGCCGGCGCTTTCAGCCTCAAAGCTAGGAGCTTCTCCTCTACTTTCTGGGTCGCTTCGCCACGGACTGGGCTCCAGCCATACGTATTGATCATAGCCGCCACCTCGTCGATGACTCGCCGTCGAATGCCGGGAATAGTAGCACCACCCCCAACGAATATTATCCGCGACATACATGTGCCCCTAACATCGGGCGGCAGGCGGAGTAGCGTGTTGTAAACCAACAAAGGTATTGACTTTTCCTCGTCGTCCAAATCGCGCTCCGCTGATTCCTTGGCGAAAAGGACCTTTTCAACCGGCTCCGCGAATGCCGAAAATGGAATATCAATATAGGTCGAATTAGGATTCGATGGGGACGGAATCGACACCATCCTGTTGCCTACAGAGTCGGGGATAGTCTCCTCGTGCGATTCTGGTGGTGAAGCTGCATTGTCACCTACCCGGGGCTTGCACCAAGCAAAACGACTGACGACTTCTTCGCAGTACTCGAAGCTGACGGTTATGTCGTCCACAACTTCAGATTCCCGGCTGGCGTCCGAGGCAAGTCGAGTAAGCATCCTCCCTGTCTCTTGAAGCAAGGACTTCATGGCTCTTGTACTTCGCTTGGCCGCAATCTCTCGGTATTCGTACAGCCCGCTTACAGTAGTTTCTGCCCATCCCAGATCTACCACCAATGCTGAGCGGAGCCCTGCTGCTACCGCGGCCATTGCAGGGCTCGGAAGAAGGGTAATACTCGGGAATCGCCAGCGACTGAAAAGAGTCGACAGAATCGAAGATAATAACGGATGTGGCATGATGGACGGGATGACCAGCACCAATCGTGATGTACCCGCATCTGTCAGCAGATATTTGTTGTATGTTTCCCGAAATACCCGTTCGATTTTGTCCTCGATGAGCCCCAGGTCGACATCACGTAAATCCATTTTCCACAGTTCATATGCACCAGTCCATTCATCTGGTTTGACTCCCCGTGAGCTGCTTGTATTGTTGGTCCCCTTCAACCATCCTCTATAGTCGCCAGCTCTCCTCCAGTCTTCTGGCCCATATCCAACGACACATATAGGCATGCTTTCGCCCTCGAATCCAGCTCGAAGCCACCGCGATCCAAGTTCAAATATAATCGCATCTTCGTCTCCGCGGAAGGAAGAGCCCCCCGAGCCGGTGCTCGCAAAGGAAGAGTTATTGGACCGCAACTGCTGTTGAGGTGTATGAGGTGACGACGGTCTGCCAGTTTGATTGTGGCGTAAGTTCAAGGGGAAATTGGTATTGACGGGGACAGAGCGCTTCTTGTCATCAAGGGAGGCTGTAGACGGGGTTGCCATTGCTTCGTGGCAACTATATTGTTCGATGGTAACTTCCTTTGAAGCTTGTTGACTCCTAATTTACAGCGCGGAGAACGGATCGATTGAGTGTTGCCCAACCGCGAGTCATTCTTTCCCTGCGCAACTCACCAGCCAAGGGCCCAATTAACCATCAAGCGCTGGAAAATATTGGACACTCATTGATCTAGAATTTTCAGCTCTCCCAAAGTGCAAGCTCCTCATTGCGAGAAACCGAGAAAGAGTTCCCCTCGTCTCCTGTTCTCTGGACGGATCTTTTGTCGGGCCGTCGCATCAGCTTCCGCGACGTTAACAACAAACAATACTACGGCAACAATCAGGATATTTTGCCTGCTTCACAGTAGTCGAGACTACTGCCCATTTCTGGATTTTGTTTTTTGGGCTTTTACTTGTGGTCTCTGATCTGTCTCATGGGGATTCCTGGGTAGGTGCAAAGCTCGTTTTCAGAATAAATACTTTCGTGGTCTCTATATATTTCGGATTGCACAACCTAGGACCACAACATAAGAACGCTCATTGAACAAAAAAGCAACGAAGCTATAAATCCGCAAATCAGCTAACATGGGACAGACTCATCAATGCCATTGGCTCTGGAGAACGGATTTCCTTGTCCAAGCTGGCAATAACCCACTTGGAACGGACTTCAAGACCCATACGCATTGCCGTGGATATCTCGATATGGCTGTTTCAGGTGCAGGCCGGTCGAGGTGGACGAAATCCAGAGCTGCGAACTCTGTTTTACAGACTATTGAAGTTCCTAGCGCTGCCTATCCATCCGCTATTTGTTTATGATGGGAAGGACAAACCGCCCTTCAAAAGAGGCAAGGCGGTCTCTGGTCGCAGCTACGGGAACGCGCCCATCATCCGGCTCTCGAAGGTTCTGATTGATCTGTTCAAGTTTCCTCGACACGATGCTCCAGGTGAGGCCGAAGCTGAATGTGCTAGATTGCAGACAGCAGGTGTCGTTGATGCCGTCATGAGCAACGATGTTGACGCCTTGATGTTTGGCTCGACCCTGACCGTTATGAATTTCTCCAAGGAGAGTGGCAGTGGCACCTCCGCAGCCACGCATATTACCTGCTACAGAATGTGTGGTGATGGCGATCATCCCTCAAATGTGCCGCTTGACCGTGCTGGTATGATCCTATTCGCGATGCTCAGTGGCGGTGACTACTTGCCGTCGGGAGTTCCAAAGTGTGGCAGCAAGTTGGCCGCGGAGATTGCCAGAGCAGGCTTTGGCGCAGATCTATTGGACACTATCAGATCCGACGGGCCTGAACTCGACATGAAACTAGAAGAATGGAGAGAAAGGCTACAGTACGAGCTGGACGAGAACGAAAGCGGGTATTTCCAGACGAAGCACAAAGCAGTACGCATTCCAGAGTCGTTTCCAGATATGGCAGTCCTATCGTATTACGCCAAGCCCGTGGTGTCCTCGCCACAGGATATTGAAGTGCTTAAATCCCGCCTGATGAATGCTTGGGATCAGGAAATCGACGTCCTCGAACTGCGAAGATTCACTGCCGATGCATTCGAGTGGAATTATCGTTCTGGGGCAAGGAAGGTGATCAAGTTGCTCGCAGAGCCTCTTGTCTCCTATAGACTCCGCTTGCAGAAAAGCCCGTCACCCTTTGCCGGGAATACCTCCTTGTCAGGCAGCGATGTGCCAATGTTGCAAAAGATCTACAAGAGCCGAACCAGTTTTAGTACTGATGGCCTGACAGAGCTACAGTTGGAAATTGTCCCGATAGATGTCGTTGGTTTGAACCTACTCGCCGAGGAACCTAATCCTCCAATTCCTTCCCAGGAAACGACAATTGTTTCTGGGGACGAAGAGGAGGATGTGGAAGTCTTTACAGAGGCTACAGTTCAGTCGCCGACTAAAAAGCGGACCGCCAAGCGTTTCGACCCCTATGCCGCTGAAAAAGTCTGGATCTTCGAGACCATTGCCACCATCGGGGTGCCTGAGGTCGTGCAGACCTGGAAAAAGGAACAGGCCGAGAAGGCTTCCGCGCCGAAGAAGTCAAGCAATCGGAAGACAGGCCCCAAGAAGAAGGGACCAATCGACCCCGGCATGAAACGAGGCAGCATCCTCAAGTATGGTACACTCACCAAGCAGAGATCTGACATCTCAGAGTTCAAAGGCGCACAACTATTTGAGGCGACAATGTCCGCAACTCCTCCAAGAAATTCGAGAGCGCCAGGGCTTCTGCGTGCTGAGAGCTCTCCAGACGCCTTAATGAGGGTTAGCCCAATCTACGGCCCATATAGTCATAAGCGCAGGTTGGATATTCAACCGCAAGTATATCAGCCTGTAGATGATTTGGTTGACTCATTTACTTCTTCGTGCACCATATCCTCCATGCCGGACATCAAGCGACATCCGGTGGCCACGCGATCTCGCATGGGGAGCCGGCGGGCGGGTGTACGCTCTGGTGATGTTGAGGTGCAGACTCTCGACTTCTTAAGTGCTGAACCTGTCTTCAATTCCTCTCCGTCGCGTACGTCTCCCGCTAGAATCAAAATGAGTTACTCCAATGCCAGGTACGATGACTCCGCCGGTTCAGATCTATCCTCAGACACAAAGTCTGTCGTATCACCACCATCGCCTGGAAGCGAGAGTCGTCAGCAGACGCAATCGAGGCCCATCAAGACGTCAGCTAAGCCTCGAAGGAGGGTAGAAGTTCAAGAGTTGGAGGAAATTATGTCTGCGGTTACACTCAGTGATGGAAGCCCTTATGAACAATTAGAAACTTTAGCGCAAACACCGACCGGCCTCAAAGCTCGATCACTAAGAGGGCTGAAAATGCATGAGGTTCATGCTCTCGCCACTGAAGCTCAAACAGCGCGCTCCTCTCGAACGAAGGAGAGCGTCTCTCCGACCGCAAACCATTCATGTGTGAAGGCCCCCGGTGTACGCCTGCCGCCAAGTGCTCCAAAGACGTTGGTAATGGACCCGTGCGCGGATGATGCGCTCGAGCCGACAACGAAGGAGGAAAAGCGAGTCGAATCGAGCAGTAAGGTGTCATGGCCTCGCCAGACTTCCTCACATCTAGAATCGGTCATTGTGTGCGATGGGTTCTGGACGACGGAGGCTAAGTCCCAATCTGAGCTGGCTTCAGAGGAGACAGAGCGTGGCTCGTCCAACAGTGACGAAAAGAGAAAGAAGAAGCGCATCCCGCGTGTGAGCATTTTGGACTTGAGCTGATTTTTTGCCGACTTCAAAGTTGACTTATTGGCACTCAGATTGCGGTGTTCTGGCGTCTATGGGGATACCAAGGATATTGGAGTCTAATTTTCATGTCATTTGGGGTTGGTTTTTTTTCTCATTAGGCTCTATAATTTAAGTACATTTCCCTTCATAACACACGTCGCACTGATTGCGACGACGAAAGGAAACCATAATAAGATTTGGAGAGTATCTTCAAGCAAGCAACAGTGGAAGCGCCCATCAACGGGAGGTGTGAAACAACGATTGCGGATGTCCCATCGTATATTACCATCCCAGTCTATAGGGAATCCATGGTGTCTATCCTTGTAGACCTGTCAAGGAAAAGTAACGGACCGATGTATAAAGTGGTATAAATATGAGCTACAGGAGAACAGTGAATAAGGGCATCAGAAGAAATTGACAGGCCAGACCGCGGCATTCCTAGAAAAGAGGTATATGTCTATCAAGGTCGAATAGAAAGAGAGCAAGTTAACCGAAAACTTTCAGGAACCCCCACAGCCCAATTCCACTGAGAACCGGGATAGTGAAGTTATCGTCCCAGCTGAACAAGTCAATGAACTCGCTTCCGGCGGCGATAATACCGGAAACAACACTCATGGCACCCAGTGCCAGCGGGCCGGTGATGACTCCGCGCGAGGAATCGGAATCGGCGGTCCAACCGAGGAGACCCCTGATAGGATCCGGGAGTAGGTTCAGACGGCCGGTGAACATGAATGAGCCCTCGGGATCGTTTGGAAAAGTGCCGACGTGGGGGACGAACCAGCCCCAGAAGGCAGCGGCGGTGACGACGCCGACGAGCCAGGCGGCCAGGGTACCAGCAAAGCTCTTGCCCTTGCGCAGTTGGAACGTGCGCCGGCCGTAGAGACGGCCGAAGGTGGAGGCTGCGGTGTCGCACCAGCTGAGGAGCAGGACGCCCATGACCGCAACGTCCTTGGGGAAGAAACGCAGAACGGAGTAGGCGCCCAGCAGGTACCAGATCACGCCGTTGTAGCCCGACACTTCTGTCTCCCGCATGAGCGCGCCAACGCAGCGGATGTAGAATTTATTGAAAGTCTCGGAGCGATGGCGGATAATGTCTGTCGCTGCGATGGGGACGAGAGCGGATAGCAGCCATGGGGTGATTTGGAGAGTTTGGACGCCTCGGCTATACAGATAAAGGGTAAGGAAGCCGATAGAGCCATGGAGGAGCTTGCGCGGTATCTCGTGACGATGGATGAAGCTGCGGTAGCGAGTGTGGAGGGGGATCAAGCCCAGAGGTGAGGGTGAACGAGAGATGTCGTGTGCGCGGCCTTTGCCCAGGGCGGAATTAGGCGAAAGGAAGTCGGATGGCGATATGCGGCCGTTGGTCTTCAAAGGCTCCGGCTTCCTGGCCGGTATCATTGGATTGGACCGCCGCGTGCGAGTTGAACGAGCAGGAGCTGCTGGACTGCGACTGCGAGACCTGGTCGGCGACCGACTTGAGTCCGTATCCACGTCTTCGCTTCTTTCCTCGGATACATCTACAAGACGTTGGCGTCGCGCTGCCGATCGAGTCCTCGGGCCGGCATAATTATCTCGTGAGCTTGACTCACTCGACGGTACAGGCGAAGGAGATATGACTCGGGGAGTTGCCGGGACGTCGTCGGCAGAAGAAGAGGGCATTTCGACCGCTCTTATAGCGAAAGGCGGAAGGGCCGGAGCCGGTATCAGCCCGGACAGAGTGCGCTGGAGCAGATAGTTATAGTCGCAGACGAGCGCGTCAAGAAAGAGAAATCTGTCAGCTGCAAACGACGCAATGATGGGCGACTAGATGATGAACGAGGTGTGTGTGAAAGAAAGTTGGTTTATCGCGTGAAACGTTGGCCCAAGGCAGACATGCGGCTGCGCATGTTCCTAGAAATTTAGAGAGAGATCGACATGGTCACTTGACCAGCAAAAAGACAGCACTGACAAATAAATATCTGAGAAAATGAGAAGTACTCGGTAGGTACTTGAAAGCAATTTGCAAATCAGAAATTTTATTCGAGTATTTTGGGTTCGTCGTTGCTTTTTTTCTCTTCGGTTTTATTTCAGTCTGGTACCTTTAGGCTTGTGATTCCGCCGAATCCGCAGGCGATCACGTGTAAATGGGCAGAAAAGGCTCACCGCCTCAATATCTAATCGGCGATCGTTTTGATAAGCTATTTTTTTTCCTGCATCAGTCTGGGCAATCGTTGCTGATCGTCGGGTCGAACTGAAGGTCCGATTCTGCACTCGGCTGCTGTCATGGCTCCAAAACCACCTGCAGGCACTTCATCCAGGGCCTGGGATGCAGTGACACCAGCCCTGTCAGAATGGGTCTTAGAAGCAATGTCCTCAATGGGCTTCACCCGCATGACCCCAGTGCAAGCATCCGCTATTCCTCTGTTCATGGCGCATAAGGATGTCGTAGTGGAGGCAGTCACTGGCAGCGGAAAGACACTGTCTTTCCTGATCCCGGTGGTAGAGAAGCTTTTGCGTCTCGAAGAACCCATCAAGAAACATCATATTGGAGCCATCATCATTTCACCAACAAGGTAGGCATTGATTTCAGGGCGCGCGGCAGCCAGAACCGTGGAAAAGCTCGATGCTGACTATGTGATTAGAGAACTTGCATCACAGATTTACAATGTACTATCATCATTACTCGCCTTCCATCCTCCTTCAGCCGCTGCGATCAACCCCTCCGAAGACGACGATGCGCCTCGACCTAAGTTCCCCTCATCTACTCTCAGAGTTGTTCCGCAGCTCCTCCTCGGTGGTTCGACTACTCCTGCAGAAGATCTGAGTACGTTCCTGAAGCGGTCACCGAATGTGTTAGTCTCCACGCCTGGACGGCTTCTGGAATTGCTTTCTTCTCCTCACGTCCACTGTCCTCAATCCTCATTCGAGATGTTGGTTCTTGACGAGGCCGATCGACTGCTAGACTTGGGATTCAAAGAGACTTTGCAGAACATCCTGCGCCGGCTTCCCAAACAGAGACGAACGGGTTTGTTCAGCGCCAGTGTTAGCGAGGCCGTTGACCAGATTGTACGAGTCGGTTTGCGGAATCCTGTGAAGGTCATGGTCAAGGTCAAGGGTGGCTCAGGCGTTGACGATAAGCGAACTCCAGCTAGGTTGGTGCCTCTCTACTTTATACTTGAACAGCGGTCTAACTCGATTATACCAGTCTGCAAATGACCTATCTTACGACACCCCCCTCGCACAAATTCGCCGCTTTGAAACGCATCCTTTCTTCAGTTCAGCCCACTCCCTTGAAAACGATTTTCTTCGTCTCTACGTGTTCGGGTGTCGATTATTTGTCCGCAATCCTCCCACTGCTGCTCGGTGACGATTTCCTGTTGATTCCACTGCACGGCAAACACCAGGCAAATGTCCGCCAAAAGAACTTCAACCGTTTCATCAATTCGCACGATCCAGCCATTCTCCTCACCACCGATGTTGCTGCGCGTGGATTAGATATCCCGTCTGTCGATCTTGTAATTCAAATCGACCCTCCATCAGACCCAAAATCGTTCATTCATCGATGCGGTCGTGCTGGAAGAGCCGGCCGGAGGGGTCTGAGTGTAGTACTTTTGCATCCAGGACGAGAAGAAGATTATGTTTCTTTCCTAGAAGTTCGGAAAACACCTGTTGTTCCATTCTCTCCATCAGTTACTTTCTCCGACGATGATGCGGCCGCTGCCACGGCCACGGCGCGTAAGGCTGTCTTGGCCGATCGTGCGCTACATGACCGAGCCCAGAAGGCGTTTGTCAGTTGGTTCAGAAGTTACAGCAAGCATCAAGCAAGCAGTATCTTCCGTGTCTCTGACCTTGATTGGGAAGCTTTGGGCAAAGCATGGGGTTTGTTGAAATTGCCCAAGATGCCTGAGTTGAGGAACTTCACTGGTGACAAGACGCTCGGCGTGAGCCTTGACTGGGACAATTACGCATACAAAGACAAGCAAAGGGAGAAACGACGGAAGGAGCTTCTCCAGGAGGCTGCCGAATCTGGTACCACTCAATCCACGTCAAATAAGAGACGAGCCAGCGAAAGTGTCGCATGGAGCCAACAGGCCGAGTCGAAGAACAAGAAGCTCAAGCGACGTGAGCAGAAGAAATCGAAGCAAGAGCAGGCCAGATGGGAGAAGATGACGGAGGAAGAAAAACAGAAGGTTCTTGAGACGGAGAAGATGGTTGAGGAGCTGAGGAAGAAGAACGAGGAAGAAAGACGACTAAGACGAGCAGCAGCCAAAGCCGCAGGCACGAAGGCTGATGGTGATGACGACGAAGAATTCCAGGGATTTGATTGAGATACCTCGCATATACGCACGATATCGGTTGGTTGGATGATCTTGCTACTTGAATGTATACCTAAAGCTCTTCCCAGATAGATTCCCGTGTACATACACAACAGCTTTAATGAAAAGCCTTCTCAATACTCTCCTGACCCTGTGACTTCACTTTTAGACTGACCCATTACCAATTACCCCTCATCTGCTTTCAGAAGTCTTCTCATCCGGGTCAAGAACTATCTGCATGCTCTGAACAGTAGCCTTTCCCTCGGGATCGGGCCTTCCAACCTCCCTGGTATGATCTTCTGCCTTACCCTCCTTTCGATTAACTCTCACTTCCTCGTTCTCCCCGTTTGATCCTTCTTCATACACCACAGGCGCAGCCTGGATTGTCCGCACTTCACCAACCTCCCCATCAGCAACCAGCCCTTTCCCCGACTCATCCTGCACCAGCAACGACTGTATCGACAACTCCGAAGAACAAGAGCCCTGCGCGCTCAGTCCCGCCTCATCCCTTCTCCCCACTTCCCCAGCAGTCTCCAACTCCCCCGTACTCTCCTCCCCCATCGGGAGCAACAAATTCCCAATCGGAATCCCTCCTCCGACAAGGCACGGATCAATCGGCGTAACTTGCTGCTGCGACTGATGAGATGGCGTTTCCAACTGCGAGCCCCCAAATCCCTGCTGTTCTGGGTATCCCACGAGGCCAACCGCGGCGTTCGTGGTTCTACCGCCGAAAGCCGCGGCCCGGCTGCACAGCGCGCAGAAGCGCTGCCCGACGCCGCGAGCGATGTACCGGATAGGACAGGCTTGGATTAGGGGCGTGGAGCTTCCCGGGACAGCGAAGACGCGGACTCGCGGGCAGGGCTGGATTAGCTGGAGGTAGGTGCAGGTGCATGGGGGTTTATTAGGCATGTAGTAGCACATTGCCTATGCTTCGGTTCGTTTATAGATAGAGTTGGTTTCACGATGATAGTGAGGTCGATGGGTTTGATGTGTCTCGTGAATTAGTGATGATGAAAGTAGAAGCTGGTTAGAGAGAAGGTGAGAGGGATAGAAGAGAAGAGCATATATATTGAAACGGATGGCAGCATGCATCCATTGTCTTGTTACTGCAATCTTCTCTTTGTCTAGTGATAAAGGACGAGTATGGCTTTGTCAAAGAATGGTTCTTTCTCAAGGGTTGAGGGACGTGACAGTTGACATGGTCCTTGTTCACAGACAAGGAAACTGAACATGCCGTAGTGGATTATGAAGATCTCAGAAGCAAACTCATACAGGTGCCGTCACAGAGGCAGATAAATCAGTTAATCCGATGCAGATAGGACAGATGCGAATATTGTTTCCATTGCCAGGTTCAATGCGAAAGCCAAGCTCAAAAGCGCCGCTGGCTACAAAAGTAAATCAAAATCTCCTGCTTATGCCACATGGTTCGAGAAGAAAAACAATGATGCACTAAACTCCGCCGGTTGAAAACAAGAGAACAAGACAGATTCGATCTCATAAACTTCATGAAAGGCCTTCACCGAGCAGGCCTACAAACTCCAGTCTCATCACCAGGCTGGAGGAGGCCGCTGGAGGTTGCAGAGAATGAAACAAAACGCAAGACACAAACGACTTCCGAAATCCCGCAGAAAACACCTTGAAACATGGTCTGGGCCCATCACAATTCCATAAAGCAGGAAGGAGGCCGAACAGGCTATGCTCAGTAATCGGAAGATGGAAACAAGAAAACGCAGCAACATAATAATCATACAAATCAAGAGGTATCAAGACAAAGCAAGACCGTTTAAAATCTTTCGTCGCCCTGATGATATGACTTCAGCCTAGGCTTGAGCTTTCGTAAATTCCTCCAAACTTTGACGGAAAGCACGGTGAACTTCGTCCACAGCAGATGCGTCCCACACGCTGGCGACGATCTGAACAATCTCATCATCAACACCCAAGCTCTTCTGGAGAGTATTGGGTTCCGGCCACTTAAGCTGCTGGAGATCTCCAGTTGAGCATTGCTCATAGAGCCACTGAGCATCACGAGCGAATTGATCATCGTCGCCGAAAGTCTCCACAGGTGGTTGTTGATTGACAACAGGCGACGCGGTCAGAGGACTTGAGTAACGACTAGCAGTGCGGAGCCCACTGGGGGTTTTAGGTTTGTACTTTTCGGCCTGAGAACGGACTCTGGCGAGAGCTTCCTGATCAACTCTGGCTGGGGTAGACGGAGGCAATGCTTGACGTGGAGTGGACCGTGGAGCAGGCGATTGCACACTACACCGCAAAGAACAATTGTTAGATGAATGGCAATGGGGCTTGAGTTGAAGGCGTTAGCAAAATACCTTTCTTGTACTTCTGTACTGGTAGTGGTCGTTTGAGTCTCAGAGACAGACTTGGCCGCCGGGGATTTTGGAGAAGGCGCGCCGCTCGACTCTGAATCATCAGAGAAAGCATCGTAATCCAGCTGGAACGTGCCTTGTTTGTTGGGAATGAAACCCGGAGACCGCTGAGGAGTAGACAAATCGACGCGAGGAGCGGGAGTTGGTGTTGTGGGCGCAGCGGCAGGGGAACCAGGCGCCGTCACTCGAGCGGCATCGCCCATGCCGATAAAGTGTCTTCCCGTATAGGGGTCCGTGGCGCGAGGACGCGTGCGAAGTTTAGAAGGAGTATCCTCGGGGCTGGCATCGAAACGCACTCTCTTCGACGGCCCTTGTTCCGACCGCATAGCACTGCGAACGGCAGATTTGACTAGAGCATCAGGTTTCGTAGGAGGTATGGCCTGCTGGGGTTGCACATCGGCTTCGTCTTCGCTGTCAGAGCTATAGCAGAAATAATCCAGATCCAATCCATAGCTGCATCCGGCCGGATTGGGAATGACATCAGGCGACGGGGACCGCTTGCGCTTCTTTTGAGTAGCGTCCTCAGCCGTCTGAGGCAAGGCCCGCTGTTCACTGACATCTGTCACCCGAGAAGTCGATGGAGGTTGGTCCTGCGCCGGAGATGGCTTCTCTGCTTCAACTGGACGTGACTCTGGCTGAACGGCCTGAGAGGTTTTCTTAGGAGTAGAAGTCAGGTCTCCAAGGAAGCGAGCACGGTCAATCGGAGCCGGAAAGAGGGAGTAGGACAAGGTGCGCTGGCGTTTGCTGGGCGGCTGCTCACTCAAGCGACGGCGAGAGCGTTTATCACTCTGGGCAGCATTCTGATTCGAATCGACAATCTTGGTGTGAGAAGGACGCTCTGGCAGCGGCTGGGAGGATGACACTGGAGGCTCTTGCGGCAATGACTGCAAAGACGGCTCTGAAGGCAATTGTGGGGTTGGCAATGGTGCTGCGTCTGGTGAGCCAGGCGCACGGAATCACCAACAAAAAGTGAAAAATCAGTAGGGCGAGAAAACGTACCTGGAGCTTCAGACGTCTGAGACCGACCAAATCTTGGAAGCAAACGGGAGAAGGAACGAGGCACAGAGTTGATCAGTCCGCGGATGTTCCAACCTCTTGCCTGAGGGGTAGAAGGAGGCTCGGCCGTGGCAGACACATCTGATGGATCCTGATCGTCTGGCTTGCTCTGCTTCTCGGTAGATTTGGTGTTCATCTGGAGAGGCTCCGTACACAGATTGATGGGGCTTGACTCCGCTGCCCGGCGGTCGGCTTCGTTCTGAGCGAGCAACTGGGGGAGGCGGAAGACCGTCTTGTGAATCCGGCCTTGATTCTCGATCGTCCGACGCCGAAGGCGCTCGGAGTAGGGGGCGGCGTTGTATGTGATCCGCCGGGACAGCGGAGTCATGCGGCGCGCAAAGGGGGTGCTTCCGGGGGGTCCCACGTTCCGCCGCTTGTTGGACGACGGGGTTTCGGCCCCGTCGTCACGGGGACGTTTTCTGTTCACTTTTCGAGGGGTTAGCCTCGTTTCCTCTTTGGCGGGCTCCTTGGCGGGTCTCTGGGCCTCTGCCTCGACTCTCCGACAACCTAACAACTCCAACAGGTAAGAAGTAGCCGAGAGAGACAACCATGGTGGGTCGACGCTCTCTTTGGTGGCACCAACACCCAAGCCTGAGCGGGGGCTCATCACCTCCGACTCCTCTGGAATCGGAGAGAGAGCCACACGCGCCCATCGCGCGGAATTCTTCCTCGTGGAACGGCTAACTTGACGTGACTTGTCAACTTCCGCGGCCACCGGACGGGATTGCGAAGGGCCCGGAATCAATTCGGACACCTTCGCCGACACCAACCGCCCATCATTAAAGGTGGACGTCGTACCCGACTCAGTCGGGACATCGAAGGTCGCGTCCTGCTGGACTTGACCTGTTGATGCCGGCATATAGCTCAGCAACGGAGTCGCAGATGCTGCCGGCGTGCCGCCGTAGGTTGTATCCGCCAAGCACAATCCAGAGAAACTCTGGATCAGGGCAGCAACCTCGTTGTCAATTGACGACGACACAGCCGCAGCAATCGACGGAATCGGGACCTCCTCGTCGCGATCGACAGGAGACAGAGGAGACAGGGAACCTTCGCGAGAAGATTCACCTGAGGAGATCCACGACACGTCGATTGGGGCGGTGTGTTCCTCGACGACCATGGGGGAGTCATCGAGTTCCGAAGAGCACTGACCGCAGACCGACATCGGCGAACGGCAGTATCGCTCTTCCTCGAACTCTATCCCTTCCATGGCCGCGAGGAACAACCGCGCAGCGATCGTTGACCCAGTTGAGGCCTCCGTCACGGCAGGTGGCTGGGTGTTGTACTCCTCAGAGGACAACAAGACGACGTTTGCGTCGGATCCACATTCGTCGGCCATGATGCTGTCCGAGTCATCTCTGGCAGCATTATGCGCTGCAGCCAACTCCACTTGCTTGTGGCGGGCGAGGCAGGCATCAATGTCTGCCAGAAGAGACTCTTTGAGCACGGACCTGAGAGGGGGGAAATCCTCCATCTCGAGGTCCGGTGTGTGAGACCGTTCCGAAAGGGGCGACCCAATGTCGCTTATGTCCTCGAGCGGATCCGGATACCAGGTATCTGCAGGAGCACCGGAAACATCTTCGACGAAAGTCTTCGATTCCGCTCCCTGTGGAGATGGGGCCTCGGGAGAGGGTGCCGCAGCTCGGCTCCTATGCAGGAATCCCGTGTCCGGGCGTAAAGGCGAGGATGGCAGTGAAACATGTGGGAGAGGGGGTGAGGGGGAGATGGATGGTGAGGAGGGCCAAGGCTCAGGGTAAGGCTCAGGAACAACTGCTTCAGGGAAAGGAATGAAGGACAACTCACTGTCCGATGCTTTAGGCTCAGACAAAGCATGTTCACCAATCGAAGGGACGGACTCGGAGTCCTGGGGTTCCGGGGGTTCCTGTGCGGCGTTCGTTTCATCGACGATGGATCCAGGCTGTGATGCTTGTTCGGCATCGGTCCGTTCTGTTTCGTCATCAGATGTTTTCCGAGCAGGCTGTCGCGTCGATCGACGAGTCGAGGTCTTCCGGGTTCGAGTCTGAGTCGTCGGAGCTTCCTCTATAGACGCTATTACGCCATTGCCGGCACGTCGACTACGGGAGCGGGAGGTGGTCTGTGTAGAAGGTTCGGCGCTAGACTGTCTGGTGCGTGCCTTTCTGGTGGATCGAGTACTAGACTCTGTTGCAGGCTCAGCACTGGACTGTCTAATGCTCGCACTCCTGGTAGATCTAGTAGCAGGTTGTGATGCAGGTTCAGCACTGGGCTGTTTAAGGCTCGCGCTTCTCGTCGATCGAGTGGTTGGTTGTGATGCAGGTTCGGCACTACCCTGTCTGAGAGCTGCAGTTCTAGTAGATCTCGTCCGACGAGGTTCGGATTCGAGAGCAACGAGACCGCCAGGCGAGAGCGGCTGCGAGCGGGTACGCATCTTGACTGTAGACTGCAAAGCAGAACAACAACCGACTGGAAGAACGGCACCAAGGCAGTGTTATACCGCGACGTGAT